TCAATGGGTTTAGCCAGGGCATTTATAACACGACCCAAATACGCCTCACTCACTGGTATCTGAGCAATTTTTCCTGTTGCTTTTACAGAACTTCCCTCTTGTATCATCAAGCCGTCACCCATTAATACAACACCAACATTATTTGATTCCAAATTAAGAGCAATGCCTATCGTACCCTCTTCAAATTCTACCAATTCACCTGCCATTACTTCATCAAGACCATAAATACGAGCAATGCCGTCACCCACTTGAAGTACGGTCCCAGTATTTACAATCTTTACTTCCCTATTATATTGCTCAATACGTTCACGGATAATATTACTAATCTCGTCGGCTCGAATGGTTACCATGAGTATTTCTTAATTTTTTTTTTGGAAAAAAAAATAATGCCTACAGTAGAAGGTCTAATTAGTTATTTCTTTCATCGCCCCAAACATGCCAATATTGGCACTAATAGTACGTAAATGTAACTCGTTGGTCAAACAACTATTCAAAGTCCCTAGAGCTCCTTGTAAGGCTTGTTGGAAAACCCGTTGTCGAACTTGATTAATCGCTCTTTGTTGTTCAAAATGAATGGTTTCGTTTTTGTAATTTTCTAATTGTTCCAAAGTCTTATAAGTTGAATTAATCAAATTCAATTTTTCTCGTTCTATCTCAGAGTATCCGTTCACTCGAAATTGATCCGCTTCTATTTCCACTTTCCGTAAGCGGGCCCGGGCTTTTTCCAACTGTTCAATGGCTCCTCCGCGTAGTTCTTCTGAATTTCGAATAGTATTCAAAATTCTCTGTTTTCGATTATCTAATAAATCACTTAATGAAAGTAGATTATCTTTCCATTCATTGCAAAACTTCCATGATCCCTTCCCGAACCAAACATGAGTCTTTCGATTCATTTGGCTCTCACGCTCAATTAGTTCAATTACTTATGGGAAATTCCCATCTCTTTTTTGACTGGAATGAGCCTATCCTCTTTTCTCGATTCATTATTCGGATTCCAAAACCTAAACTAATCACTAATCCAAGACCGGAATATTCGGAGGACTCTTCTGACCAAACAAGTAATTGTCAGTAAAGTTGTTTCTTTTTTTCTTCAAATCCAAAGACTTTACTTTATGTGTAGGTTATCGATTCAGCATTGGATAGGAATGGGTGAAATACCCATTTTTTGAAAAAAAAAAGGTTCAAATCCTTTTTCGACATGAGTGTTCTATACCGAAAACAATTTCCAACTATTCATCTTGAATCCTTTTATGTATGTATTAACATACTAGTAGAAAGAGTAACCTGCTCTGTCTGGACTTCAAACAGTTTAGCTTTAACCATATTAATGGTCCCACATTATTGGTTGATAGAGAATCAAAATCTATTTACCAATGAATCACGAAATGCTATGGTTCTTAAAGATGATTTCTTAATTTATTCAGGAGTAATTCGCAGGATCATGCACCTTTTCTTTTCTAGTTAAATTTCCTAGTTTAAACGAAACAAAAAAGTGCAGCTGGTTCAATCCAGCCTATTCTTGAAATAAACAACTCGCACACACTCCCTTTCCAAAAAAAATCAATACACCAAGGACTACACTTAGATTTATTGGATTTGTTGCTAAAATATCGGTATTAAACCCGAAACTCCCGGCGGATGACCAGTGACCCAAGGAAACGAAAGAATCGGTTATATTTTTCATACGATCTCCTCTTCTTTTATAAATCTTATAGACAGACTAATTATCTATTTATTTTTTTTTTTTTCTAGATTATTTTATTTTATATTTTTTTTTTTTCAATTGTAAATTTCTAATTAAGAACAATACTTATTAGAATTGGGTATCAGGTCTCGTGTCAATTGCGAAATATCTACTTTTTTTTTGTTACACCACTTCCTTAAAAAAGTTTGGATTGGACTAACTAAGAAAGGGGAAGGAAGAAAGTGAATCAGTATACTAATTCCTCATCCCCCAATCAATCCTTCCCGTTGGGTTATTGTCCCAATAAAAATAAAACAAAATAAATAATTGTAGGAGTAAAATCTTGATAGAATTCGAAAAAGCAAGCAGCAAGTACAAGACAATAAAAAAAAAAAATACGTATTTTTTTATAGGATTAGATTAAACAAATCAAATATAGGATTAAACAAAAGGATTCGCAAATAAAAGTGCTAATGCTACAACCAGTCCATAAATTGTTAAAGCTTCCATAAAAGCCAGACTAAGCAATAAAGTACCTCGTATTTTTCCCTCTGCCTCGGGTTGTCTCGCGATACCTTCTACAGCTTGGCCCGCAGCAGTACCTTGACCAACCCCAGGTCCAATAGAAGCAAGCCCAACGGCCAACCCAGCAGCAATAACGGAAGCGGCAGAAATCAATGGATTCATGATAAGTTCCTCGCACCAAAAAAAAGAAATGGTTAATGATACAATCAACCAATAAATTATGACTTAATTATTCCATCGATAAGATTTTCATCTAGTCAAAGTAACGCAACTAAGAGCTCCCAATTGAAGTAGTAATATTATTAATCATCAGAACTACTTCGATATCTATTTTATAGTTCCTATCCACAGAGTTTTTTTGAATTCATAGAATTCATACAACTTTTTGTTTTTCCATTTCTTTCTTTGTTCCGAACCATTCTTTGAATTCGAACTCTTCATTCTTTTTCTTGATTGAATTTCTTTATTCAATATTGAATTGAATTCACAGTTACAAATGAAACGGAAGGACTTTTATTGGAATCCCTACCCCAATTCTCAGTAATAGGAGGGCGGATTAGATATATCTTTTAGCTCATATATAACTAGCCTACTATTACATATACATGTCTTTCTTCCATAACGTAAACCAACTATTTGTATCTTGGATTCAGTCGTATTTTAAAAACATTTTTCGAAACATCTATAAAGGAAAGTTGGCTTATAGCGATTATATATATTACATATACCTAGTTTGATCCCACTCTTCTAACGAAACCATTTTCTCTTGAATCTCATTTTTTGTAAACCCCTATCTTCCTTTTATTTAATTTAGAATTTAGCATTATTCCACATGGATACAATGAATCTAAATGTGCGAATTTCTTAGTCTAAATCATTGCATAGAAATATAAGTCTTTGGTTGATCTAAGTTCATGTAATTTATTCTTTATTAATATTTTCTTTTGGTCAATCTTTGAATTGAATAAAACCGACTGAAATGGGAATCGCTCTATAGAACCTAATTTTTTTTTACAATTCCCTAATATCGTAATCTTTTTTACTATTCTTCTAGATCTTATAGACTTTTTTGTCTATTTATGTGTATATTTATGTTCACGAAGAAGATTATCTCGAGCAAGGCATAGATTACCTTGCACTAAGCTAAAAAAGACTATTTCGAAACTTAGTCAATGGTGTCCCTCCATGGATTCACCTATATAAGCCGCAGCTAAAGTTGCAAAAATAAGAGCTTGAATACCACTTGTAAATAATCCAAGGAACATGACAGGTATAGGAACCACTGAAGGTACTAAAGAAACAAGAACAACAACTACTAATTCATCCGCTAATATATTTCCAAAAAGTCGAAAGCTAAGTGATAAAGGTTTTGTGAAATCTTCTAAAATGTTAATGGGTAAAAGGATTGGAGTTGGTTGTATGTATTTACCGAAATAACCTAATCCTTTTTTGCTAAGGCCCGCATAAAAATATGCTATTGACGTAAGTAAAGCTAAAGCAACGGTAGTATTTATATCATTCGTGGGTGCGGCTAACTCCCCATGAGGTAACTCTATGATTTTCCAAGGTAAAAGCGCCCCTGACCAATTAGAAACAAAAATAAATAGAAACAAAGTTCCAATAAAGGGAACCCATGGACCATATTCCTCTCCAATCTGGGTTTTGCTCACATCTCGAATAAATTCAAGGATATATTCGAAGAAATTCTGACCGTCAGTAGGAATGGTTTGTGGATTCCGAACAGTTACAATGGCTGAACCTAATAAGATAACAATTACAACCCAAGAAGTAATAAGTACTTGGGCATGGACTTGGAAACCGCCTATTTTCCAATAGAAATGCTGGCCTACTTCCACACCAGATATTTCATATAACCCTTTTAATGTGTTAATGGAATATGATAGAACATTCATATTGTCCTCTGAAAGAAAGAAAACTTTACAAGAAATTATTTTGATTCAACCGTCTTTTTTTCGACTTGCTCACTTGAATTGTATATTTTAGATACCAACTAATCACATAATATCCCCAGTTTTTTATCTCTTTTATGAGATTCAGAAATAGTAACGGATTCCGTCAATCTATGGAATTCAAAAAAGAATTTATTTATCTTATTATTAATCAGGGATTTCGTATATAGCTAGAACGCCCTTCACAAATCGCAAATACTAATTTGTTAAGAATTAATCGGATTGAAGCTATAGCGTCATCATTCGCTGGAATCGAAATATCTGTGAGATCCGGGTCACAGTTTGTATCAATTAAACAAATTGTTGGAATTCCCAAAGTGATACATTCTTGAAGAGCCATATATTCTTCTTGCTGATCAACGATTATTACAATATCGGGTAACCCTGTCATATATTTAATCCCGCCCAAATATGTTTGCAAGTGAAATAACTGTCTCTTTAATCGAGCCGCATCCCCTTTCGGAAGGCGGTGGATTCCCCCTGTCTTTTGTTCCATTCTCAAGTCCCTGAACTTTTGAAGTCTCATTTCTGTAGTGGACCAATTCGTTAAAAGGCCGCCTAGCCATTTTTTATTAACATAATGACACCGAGCTCTTATTGCAGCCCGCGCTACTGGATCAGCTGCTTTATTTTTGGTACCAACAATTAAGAATTGTTTTCTCCTACTTGCTGCATCAAAAACCAAATCACACGCTTCTGATAAAAAACGAGCAGTTCTAGTAAGATTTGTAATATGAATACCCTTACGCTTTGCAGAGATATAAGGTGCCATTTTCGGATTCCATTTTCTAGTAGCATGACCAAAATGAACTCCTGTTTCCAACATCTCTTTCAAATTAATGTTCCAATATCTTCTTATCATTTCTCTCCACACTTCCTCTCTTTTTTTTTTTCAAAGAAAAAAAAAGAAACGAGATACCCTGAAATAAATAATTGTTCCGATGGAACCTTTTCTTTTCCCGTAATTGGACGTTGATACACGATCCAAGCGATTAATTTCTTTCTATTCCTTATTATCTTTATATTATCTTTATTTCTTACTATATATTATCTTTATTTATTACTTTTATTTATTACTATTAACAAATAACAAATATTAACAAATCACATGTAAATGTAAGAAATCACGGGACCACCGACAGTTAAAAGGACGAATCCACTCTTAGGAATCGTTAAATCCTATAAATGATTGTTCTGATATATTATAGAAATTTTTTGAAATGCAAGAATCAAATAACTCTCTGTGGTGAAACAAAATATCTCTCATTTCCCCCTCGAATAAATTCTTCTTTTTGGTTTTGAAAGGAATGATCTTATGTTGGCTTGAGCGGTGCGCTAATCCTTTGAATCCGGTACCAACGGGTATCATACCACCTAGAACGACGTTTTCTTTCAGGCCTTTCAGCCAATCGATACGACCGCGGAGAGCTGCTTTTGCTAAAACGCGAGCAGTTTCTTGAAAACTCGCTTCGGATATGAAACTTTGAGTACTCAGAGATGCTCTCGTTATTCCCAAGAATACGGTTCGGTAACAGATCGCTTCTTCCAAAGCGCGCATCGCTCGTTCCGCCCGCAACAATCCAATTAGTTCTCCGGGTGAAAAAACATTAGACATTCCATCTTCTGAAACCAGGACTTTTGATGTTATTTGGCGTACAATAATTTCTATATGCCTATTATGGATCTGTACCCCCTGGGATCGATAAACCTTTTGGATCTTATTAACCAAGGAAATACGACTTTGCACTATAGTTAGCTCAGCACCAATCAAGAATCCCCAAGGAATTCCAACAATTCTTGTTATACACTCGTTCCAATTCTCCACTCTCTTTTCTAGGTTTATCGATATTGAATCAATTGAGCGCACTTCTAACACCTGTTCCACTTTTGGAAGACCCTGCGTTATATCACCAGATCTCGATTTTTCATATATAAATGTAACTAATGTATCTCCTTCGTAAAGGATTTCCCCATAATGGCCATGAACAGTTGCTCCTGGAGTGGCCAAATAGGGCTTAGCCAATCTTAGTATTACAGAGTCGGCGTGAACAATTAGAACTTGACCTGATTTTAGGCGTGGTCCGTTTTTTGTCATACATACATTTTCACAAATAAACTGTCCCAGGTTAATTATTGTGAATGTTTCTTCACAATAATTATGATGATAATTATGATGGAGAAAATACCAATTCAATTTGAATGGATTCAAAACGTTGTTACTGTACGGATCGTGATTAACAATTCTACCGTTCTCATCCATTAAATAATATTTTAGTACTTTTGAAGTCTGTTTTAATTTTAAATTGTCAAGTTTCAAATATTTAATTACCGAGATCTGATTATGAGTTAGTAAATGGTAAAATGAATAAAAATTCGCAATTTGAAGGGCTGTTCCTAAAGGGCCCAACAAATTCCTAATTGGAATTATAGGATCTCTTTTAGTTGATTCTTTTATTACATTATAAGATTTTACACCGTTGGATGGACCCATTCGAAAACAATTAGATGATGACAAAATTATCAAAGATTGACATTCCATATTTCTATTCAACAACGTACTAATACTAATAGTTCCTTGATTTTGTTTAAGCGATTGTGGAATCCTTGTCTTGGAATAAATGGAATAAAACGGATTAATATTGGTGCGATCTGGCCCATTATCAGAGATCAATCCCAAACCTGATGGATCGTTCCTTTTTCTGCTGATATAGGAAATGCGTGATTTCCCTAAGTGGATTCTTAGGAAATCACGAATCAAACCATTTATACTTACTTCAACAAAATAAACACGAGCCTCTTCGATAGAAGAACTTTTTTTGTCTTGGTTCCAATTCAACACTAAACAAGTACGAACTAATTGAATACTTGTGTTAGAAATTCCCTGAATTGGTTTACCATTTCCATAAAGAATATAATTGACAATTCGAAGTTTCAGATTCTCTTTTTCCTGCAATACATCCGGCGGAAAAAGTCTTTCTAAATTTATACCGTCCCCTCTTTCATATATGAGTACTGGTCGAACCAAAACAAAAGACTTTTTCTTGGTAGGTGTGATCCGTTGGACATAGATCCAATTTTTCACCTTTTTCGACTCCTTAGAATTTGTTTTTACTGTTCCTGGTGGTATCAAGATACCACTGTATCGGGATATCTTATCTGTCGCCCTCGGAAAATGGATATCTCCAGAAAAGA